TAGCCCGTGGTCGTTTGCTGTCGTGTCTCTTACCTCCCATCCGATGTACACGGTCGAAGGTAATGTTGTTTACCGTCTCACTGGAGAGTTTCAGCTGGTTCTGAATGAAGCTCCGGACGGTAGCCTCTGGGTCCTCATTAGCTTTCTCGGGGATGCCAGAGAATACGAGGTTGTCCCTCATGCTTCTGGCCTGGATGTCTAAGATGGTAGCATGATTCAACAGTGCTACACTCTGTATATATGTATGCTTCACAAGCTAATATCTGCTAACCAGTTCAATAAATAACAGTGATTACATTGACTTCATAAGATTATTTTAATTTTAAACTGTTACATTATATTCTGCTCAGATCACATTGAGCTAACAGCTTTTCTGGCATTATTTAAAACATTAGATAGATTATATAAACTGTAAAATATTAATAATAATTGGATTAATATTATTATTAATAGTTTTTATGATTTCTACATCGTCAGTCCTTTTTTCCTGCTCTGTTGTCAACATGTACAGTAATGGGAAATCAAGACTGTTGCCCGTTTAGCGTTAGCCGTTAGCTTCTCCAGCCGATCACATGGTCACGTGGTTTTTGCGCACTCCAGCTGTTCTATAGGACCTCCTTGGTCTGACCTAAACTGTGCCAGCCAACGGTTTTACGATTGACCCAATATTTGAGGAGGGGGCTCCTTTCAAAGAGGGGGTGTCTGGACATTCAAAAATGTTTATAAATCAGAAACTGTTTAACATAGGAGCTTCAGATTTCTTTTATTGTTTAGCTCTGATAAAGCTCTATCCATCACGCCCATCAATCAATGCCCCACTCGGACCCCCAATTTATCTGAAAAAGGGGTATCTGGACATACAAAAATGGTTATTGCTCAAAAACTATTAAACATAGGAGCTTCTGATTTTCTTTGGCTGTTTAGCTCTGATGAGGGGCTATCTATCAGGTCAACCAATGCCCCCCCCCCCCCCCCCCAAAAAAAAAAAGAACGATTTTGGGATGCACCTAGTAGCATGACATTTATTAGGAATAAAGACTTTTGAGTTCTGGTGCATTTGCGCGTGCGGGGGTCATTATGTTACTGCTATGTGGTATCTAGTTTATTGTATTGAAAGTGTGGGGCAAAGCATGCAAAACAATTACAATTTCTATTTTTATTTTACAAAAAAGAGCTGTAAGAATTATTACTAGAAAAGATTACAGCCATCCATCAAATACATTATTTTATCAATTGAAGATATTGAAATTCTATTACTTGGTTGAAATACTATTTTATGGTTTATGTATAAGGCTCACAAATTACCTTCTAACATCCAAGTAAATTTTGTTAAAAGGGAGAGTGGTTATTATCTTAAGGGGATGAGATATTTGTGAAGCCTTGGTTTCGTTCAAGTTTGAGGGAGTGATCTCAAATGCCAGATCTTTGTACATATTCAAGAGAATGATACAGGTTAGTTTTCTGACCTGGTAGTCCTAAACACGGTCAACCCTAAATCTAGCACGGACTTAATTCACACCTTGGCCCTAAATCTAAACCCCCCACCCCAAATTAGCCTCCAAACTCAGGAGGACCATGATTTTGGTTCCCACCGAGCATTCTGTCCCCACGTGGATGCAATTTTCACGACAATCGTCCCCACCTGGTAGTGAACAACCTGTCCACACACGCACACACATTAAAAAAATATGTTGTCATAGTACTGGTAAGAATTTTAAACTACTTTCACCCCTGACTGTTTGTACAGTTACCATCATAATTGCTGGAAATGAAACATTATGACTGTATTTGCTGAATCATGTATTGTAACTTTCCTAGCCAAGGTGTAGTGCACCAGGTAAATACATGCTCTTGAAAATTTAGAAATTTAGGTATGTCATATTTATCCTAAAAATGTAAATGATTTGTAATTGTTGAAGAAATTTGGGGAGGGGAGTAAGCCTTTTCTTAATTGTTGAACTGACATGGAACAGAAAGGTGCAGAGTAAATACAAAATACAATTACATTACAATGTATTTTAACCACAAAATATCCAGAATCATTTTACTGTATAAAAGCAAATGTTTTAAGAAATAGGCAGAAAATAAACCCCCCACCATGGTAGACCTCTTGTTACGCCCTTGTGCGCAAGTGACTCAATGATGTGAAGACTGAACCTGCATCATGTATAATTTAAATTCTGATCTAAGAAATGTCCCAAAGCATATGAAAAAAAAGTATTAATGTCCATTAGTAAGACAGTAAATAATGGAGAATGATTTTGCTACTTTGAGAGTTTGTGAATATTTGAAATGGCAACATTTTGTTTTGAAACAAACTTTTTTCCCCCTTCAGATCTTATTTTAATAGGCAAACTCACTACTATTATTATTATTATTATTATTATTATTATTATTATTGGCATGCTGTCAGCTTGAATTGTATATACCAAACACTTGCTAATCACACAACAAACATGGCAACAAATTTTTGAATGATGATGCAATTCCCATTTCAGTTCCCCCTTTGAGTACACAGCGGGAGGATAAAACCAGTGGCAGTAAAGCAGAGGTGTGTTTGTGTGTGTGAAAATCCAATGCAAATAAGGTTTCACCCCTGTGGTACTTGAACTGTTTTCTCTTTGATAACCCAATTATTGTCTCAAGAGCTGTGTCAATTGCTCTAGCGATCTCTTCTTGAACAAATCACTCCCCTAACCTCGAGCACTTTCGATTTGATTCTGCCATTTTTTGACAGTTCAAAGTAATCAGAGGAGGCCTCGGCTGAGGACGAGAATTGATTTTGTGTTCCCGCCTATCATGCTAATTCCCTCAAAATCAGACTTTTTTAGCTCCCTCTGCCTGATTACTGCTCTTGGAAAAGGGCCCCTGAACTGTGTTTCTCTTACCCAGCTCTGCTGTCACATAAACCCTCACATTTCCTTCATTCACATTCAGATGGATCTCACATCAGCTCACCTTTGCTGTCCATGCTGGCATGCAGTGGCAGTTAGTGAGTTAGTTAAAACATGATGCAGATGTCAACAGATTTCATAAAAATAAAATGCACCCAAAGCAATTAACATTCAAGAAGAAGACATGCAACCTAGTCTTGGAGAGGATATAAAATTGTAACAAATACAAAAAAACACAAAACTAAAACACACACACACACACACCTACTATGTCTCTCTGTCCTTCTGGGGACTTTCCATTGACTTCCATTCATTTTTTTGAAATTTTATGGTCTAATCCTGTCCACAAACCCTAAGGCTAACCTCACAGGTACTTGCCTGACCCTAAAACTAACCTAAACTTAATTCACACCATGGTCCTAAAACCTAACCCCCCACCTGTAATTTGCATTTTTTGGAAAATGGTTCCTACGATGTAGGAAAAGCGTGGATACACACACACACACACACACACACACACACACACACACACACACACACACACACACA